GCGTCGGTAGCGGCTGCTGTGTTGAAGCCGTCTCTGTAGGTAAGTCTTCTGGTTTCTGATCACGCCCGCCTCCTCTTTACGCTGCTAATCTGGCAATTAGTCGGTTATCCAGGTAAGTATTCACGAAATAGACTGCACAAATCAATCGTGATGTTGGTGGTCTATGAGTGAGATACTTACCTGGATAACCTTCCCTCCCTTCCTACCCTCGCCGTGATCGTGTCGATCTTTAGGGAATGAGGACGTTTGTTAGGGAGACGGTTCGCACGTGGCGCCTTGGGTCGGACTGTTCCATTATTTTCGAAGGGGTGTTCCGTTTTGGGAACAATGGCAAAAGTTGAAGACACTTTCAGAGGCAGCTCTACCACAGCGCCAACTACTACTACTACAACCAACTACTTTTAGAGATCATAATCTGAAAGAAAAAAAAAACTACAATATAACTGAAATGCAAAGATTGAATGAAAACCAAGACAAAGTTTGCAAGGCAAATATATAAATATAAATCCTGGTATATTGGAAGTTGATATTTAAAAAGATCTGTTGACTTTGCTTAACCGATCAACCCCTTGGCCCGCATTAATGCAGGCCAAGGTCACCAGGGATGATCGTAATTAATTATGCAATTAATTAACAATAATTATTTTAAAATCGTATGCGTGGTTTAGTGTGCATGTAAGTTTAAAGAATATGTGAGAAAATATCAAAAGATGTTTATAAAAAATATTCCTTCTTCCATTTATAATTAATTTCTAAGTTTAGGGTAATTAGCAATTTGTAATTTGATCGTTGTTTTTGTAACATGATCGCCTTGATCGAGGTGTCAGCGTTAATACTGGTGGTGAATAAAATCACCTATAAACACACTTTATTTTCAGAAAATAACTAACTTTCATACTATAAATATATTTTCAAAATACTGTACCAGATTTGGTTATTATATCGACATATTTCCGCGTAAAATTGATTTTTTTTGTGGCTGAAAGCAAAGCATGTGCTATCATTTATGCTTGAAGCCATCTTGTGTGTTTACAAAAATGACAATGAACCCTCAACATGATTTTTTTTTTAAATCATCTGAATTTTAGAAACACACAATACGTAATTTTCGCACGACCTTGGAGGGCTAGGCAGAAAATTATAAATTATGGATTTTACCTCGCGAGGTAGGTTAGGCTGTTCACGGTACAGTGCATAGTGGGGAATGGGTAACTAAACGCGGCGAGACGCCTAGGGCCCCTTCGATGTAAAATTTTATATTATTTTTATCTTCCAAAGTTCTTCGTCAATAAATTCAATTTTAGATTTATTTTGTAAAGGAATAATTTGTGCTGATGTGGAGATGTGTTTGTATTCTGACTACTGATTCAGGATTCAATAATTTATTTTTAAAATTATTCATCAAAAAATATTTATAAAATAAAACAATAATTGGAAATAATTTATTTTTTAAATTTTTTTCATAATTTCACAATACTAAATAATAAGTTATTTAGAAGTATGTTTTTATTATCTTTTACACTTCACTCTTATCACCTTACCTATAGGCCTATAACTCTACTTATTACATACTTTTGCTTTTAAGTGATGTGCGGACAAATGGGTCAATACGGACAAATTCCAGTTGTACATCATTAGAATGAAATGGCTTCCACTGTCCGGCCACAAGCTGTTCAATTAGTATACTGTATTCCTAAAAAAAAAATTTAAAAAAAAATCATTATTTTACAAATTAATTGTTTTTTTCTCTATCACTTAAATTTAAAAAAAACCCATTTAAACTGCAAACAGGAACAGTTAGAGGCCTAGGAGGATTACACTCCAAAATACAGACAAAAAGATTTCTAAATTGTCAAAATTTGTAATTCAGGGAGTTAAAATTCTTCATCAGAGTTCGGTGATAAGCTTGACTATTTTAATACCTTGAAATTCATGCATATTTGAGAAATCAGCCTTCAAAGTTTATGATTTCAGGCATTTCTCAGGCAGAACCATCACTAAATCCTTGAAAATTGTTGTTTTAACATTAAAAACGGGGAAAATGACAACATAGCATGATATATAAAGGTGAAATAAAATACATTTCCAAAATGTTGACATCCCAGGATGTTTTGGTCATAATCTCTGAAACACGATTTGCGACGAGTGACTGGTTTGGTTTGTCTTTGTCACATGTATCAATCATAAACTTAAGGAGAACACTCCCAGCTACCGAAAGGTCATCCCCTGCCTTAGCTTTTGACCATGCTTGAGGCTCTAACAATCAATATTCATATTTTAAAGAAAGGTTATTTGGATTATTAATTAGAAAAGATTGTTCGTAATGACGTATCGCCAGAAGAAGATTGTTACTTGTGCAGGATGATGTTTCAAAGGCCAGTTTTCAAGCTTAAAAATAAAAGCAATTTAAAGCCTAAGTAACATGAATTTCAGACCCTGAGCAAAAGGTCTACTGACATAGTAACAGCAGTATAAAAAATAAAATAAAATAACGAAAACGGACTGATTATAAGTTTCCAATTTCACTGTGCTTTGGCCTCATAAGCAAATGTATGCAAGCTATGAAATAGAAAGGCCTTACCACATGATCTTCAGTGGTGTAAGCAGCTGGGGGTGTCCTTTGTCCGACAATATGATGGCTAACACCGGTGACACGAAGTAAGCCCTTCTCCTTGAACACCCATTGAGAGAGAGCATATGCAAGGCCTTGGTTGCCAGACTTAGCAAATCTATGTGAAAAAAAAAACAATAAAAAAACAAATAGTGTAACTAAAAATCTGCCGATATTATTGTCTAGGGATAACGATTTCAAAGAGAGCATTATATCTTAGTCAGCTAAATTTGTGGTAGCCACTGTGTTTGGCAATCATGGAGATCCTCTCAGATCACTGGATCCCTGATTCAATCAAGTTCATAGTCCCTCTGTGCAACATGAGATTGCTCTTACACTACAACACTAAAAAGACACACTAGAAAATTTTTCAGATTTTGTGATTTTCCTTACGCTGTTATACACCAAAAAAAACAAAACAAAACAAAACAAAACCAACTTTGTAACTATTAGTAAGTTTTCGCCGCACGATGTTAACCTTAACTTTAACGTTAGTACCCAACCTGCAACGCGATAACTCCGCCCATTTTGTAAACAAATATAAAATAAGCATTCGCAAACCCATAACTAATGTCCGTCGAGCACATAAAATCCTGAAATTAACGTACTCCAAAACGCAAGATGAATATATTATGACATCATCTTTTAACATTAAGGTTAACGTTGTGCAGCGAAAATTCCCTAATAATACACTGTAAAACCTTATTTTTGCGATTTTGCAATTTGAAATATTTTTCAGCTTTTTGAAGTTCATGATTTTTTTTTTCAACATGATACAGAAACCTGTACACCTACCATTATGTTTTTTAGCATATACAATAGCTTAATTTTTGTGACCATCGATTTATCCGGAAAATTAAGGGTTACGAAAATAAGGGGCTTTACAGTATTGAAATTCATGCAGAATAAAGATGAATCCCTGAATTGAATACCTGTATCAATTTTAAATGAAAAACAAAGGTTTTAATTTGCTTACTATTAATGCAATAATTAGACTTATGTATTAAATCATAAATATACATACACTTATCATCCTATGATTAAGATCAGGGTTCGTTTTTAAACAAGCAAATTTCCAGGACAATTCCAGGACATTCAAGGTCAAATTTTCCAACTTTCAAGGACACAATATATAGCTTAACAGTAAAATATCGACGATTTTACGACTGATTATAAAACATATATGCTGTACTACTTTTAAATGCATGTTAGTTTAGTGTATATTAAGTTTTATCAAACTATAATACAGAGGCGATGGCCCCGTCTCTTTTTCTCACACTAGTGGGAAATTTGATGGTAAACAAAGGAATTCCCATGAGTATGGGGAAGTACCAGTAAAGTAAGGTAGGGTCGGATCATAGGGAAAGTTCTATTTTCTCTATGAGTTGATTTTACGACTGATTATAAAACATATATGTTGTACTACTTTTAAATGCATGTTAGTTTAGTGTATATTAAGTTTTATCAATCACTAATTCGGAGGCGATGGACCTGTCTCTTTTTCTCACGCTCGTAGGAAATTAAGTTTTTCTCACACGTGTAAAATTTGATGGTAAGCAAAGGAATTCCCACGAGTATGGGAAGTACCGGTAAAGTAAGGCAGGGGTGATGTCTACAGTAAATTCTCCACTCGACAACATAAATGTGCGCGTACAACAATGGTCTTATCTTTGCTTAAACATGACAGTGTCTTTTGAGGTACTGGCACACATGAATAACTCGGTTCTTTTGTGGTGCCGCGAAGTGGGTTACCGCCAGCCCAGGCGAACAGCTGTTGCGAAGTTGACATGTACCGTATCAGTAAAACAATACAGTATAGCCTTCGATGGGTGTACGTTGCGGAGACGTTGATGCATCTCATTTCATATATATTTAGGTGTTTATAAAGTTGTATAAACGAATGATGTACTATATTATTAATTTAATGGTTATGCCCTATTCTCAACACATCATTATACTATACTGTATTATTTATTATTATTCATTAATATTAAACCTAACATTAATATTAAACCTAACATTAATATTAAGCCTACAACTTTTATAATGTACTCTACAGCAAAATACCGGCACTGATCTGCTGCCTATCAGCATTGTTTTTCAAACAGTAAACGCACTTTAAAAACCATTCACTAAGAAAATAACCGTAGAAGTATACGTTCCTATGGTTACTTTAATTGTTAATTAACTGCCTTGCGCTGGATAGGGACAAAACGTGCCCATTCGTGCTGAACATCCCGTCTTGAGTGATGAATTACTCAAAGCGAATTCACCGAGCTGAGCACGCGCGACAAGACCTGTTCAACTGATTGAAAGTTGAACAGCTCTTGTCGCACAGGCTCAGCCTGGTGAATTCGCTTTAATATTTCAGTACTGTTTATAACACACGACAGAAAGCAAATAACACCATAGCAAAGTTAAGGATTATGATTATCAATGTCTGAATTAAAATTAAATGCAAACATTATTAATATACAAGATTTTTTTAAAAAGCACCGCCTTCACTAAAACATAGGCGAACAACTCCATTCACTGAATCGCACAAGTTTGTCTGAACCAGCTAATCGGCCACTTTCAACAATGACATTCTTTCTGTCTTTGATAACATTCCTGAATTGGTGGCGTACAAAGGCTTGACCTGATTCTCTCAAGATAATTGTGGGAAACACTTGTGGGAACGTTTCTCATCCAATTTACTGTTACTAGGCAACTTGTAGTACTGCAATTAATGGTAAATGATCAAATTTCCAGGACATTCAAGGACAATATTATATTTCCAGGACTTTCTAGTACTGGAAAATGCTCATTTGTTTTTCCAGGACATTCAAGAAATTTAAGGACGCGTACGAACCCTGTAAGATGAAAATTAAAAAGCACTATGGAATTGCTCTGTACCTTTCAGAGCCTGCAACGGCCTTTGAACGGCAGACTGGAAGTAAGCATCGCTGAAAAACTCCAAGGAACCAGAGAACACAACGCAAGCATTGTTGCGGGCCTGGAGGGCAGTGATGAACTGTGTGTTTTTACCAACAGCGTGTGGATAGTCGACGATGTCATTAGAAGGATTGTGGGAGTATGAGGAAGAAGTACCGTGTAAGATATCCATTACCAGGGGGTTCTCCGGGTCGGCAGTCATTCTAAAATTATGAAAATACATAGTGTTAATAAATAGATATATTTCACTTTCTTCAAATTAGTGTTCTTTAATGTCTTATACAAGTTCACCCTTCAATTTGGGACCATGTTTGGGGCCTAATTGGAGGGTAAACTTGGAGGGTGGTCTAGGGATTTGGTCTCCTGTTAGCATAGTATTTTGTGGAAATACAACCTTTCATTTTAATATTACTACTGTACTTACCCAACACCCTTGAATAAAATTGGATTTAATTTCTTATCTCCTACAATGGTTTTAGATTCTATGATGTTCGAGGGATCAGCTATGATCAATGTATGCTACAAAAAGATAAAAACAAAATATATTAAACTACCGATATTTATATTTCACTTTATTCAAATTCAAGTACAAGTTCCTAATTTGTAACAATTCGTGGCAAATGGCAAAACTGCAAGTTACAATTACACGAGGGAATGGCAATAAAACATATAAAAAATTACATTAAAATGGAAGATAATTATTGTCATAATAAAATTATTATTATAAGAATTGACATTAACAATGAAATTTAATACAATAAAACTTTAAATTTAAGAGGAAGATTACTATTATCATTTTCGTTCTTAAGCCTAGTATTATAAAATTGCTACAGCAATTGTTACATATTGAAACTGCTGACATGGAACACTTCCTAATTTGTCATCGATGCCATCAGCAAAGCTGAACTAGCTTTACTTTTCAGACTTGCAAAATACATATGAGGTGAGCTGGCCACTATAAACATATTTTTTCCAATTTTATCTGCATATTCTGAAGCAGTTTAAGTTCAATCAGTGACACTCCTAAAGCTATGAATAGTGAGCTTTCGATTTGCACGATGACGCGACACTAGAACAGAATCACTCATGCATGACCGCCCAACAGGGCGTCCTACGTACTCTGCATTCATAGATTTGGCCGAATTGTGGCCTAGAATCCACGTAACAGGCAGAACTTAACGTTCTCGCATGTGCAGATGACATTTAGTGACATCATTACGTTTTAAGTCAACCGTCGTCGTGCAATCGAAAGCTCCCTACTTTCAATTTCATATACTCAGCAAGCCTTCATCTTTGACGTCAAAGTTAAGGTGATCTATTACAGCTGTGTTTTCCTCATCAATTCAACACCACAATTACTTCCAATTTCCCTTATAGGGTCACCTGTAACCAAAGGATTTAAATGTAAACCTATTCAATTTATTAAACACAAATATATTTTTTTCTTGATAGAAGATGAGATACTGACCAAAATGAACAGCCCCAAAATATATAAGAAATTATGCATTTTTCCTCACAATAACCATACCGGTACTGTAAGGCATTTATCAATTCCTATTAAGGCGAGACTTAATACCTTGTTTTGCAAACCCGCTGCCCGCCAAAAATAATGATTTCATTTTTTATTTTTTGCCAATTAGCGCACCTTCCACCACAAAAAAAACAAACAAACATAAATTTCAGAAAATTAAAAGTTTTTCTTTATTTTTTTACACCCGCTACTGTATTGAAATCTCCAAAAATAAAATATGTATATTTCTTCCTACTTATATAAATTTAAAGCATTTTACCTTTTCAATACTCCACTGTTTACATACACTTTATTACATTTTATTTTTATTTTCTCCTCCATCTGGAGTTTTTTGGCAAAACTATTCGCTAAATAAGAAAACAACATTATATTTTTATTTTTTTCCCGCAAATCTGATGATCTTTAAAAAAAAAACATTGCGAAACAAGGTATAAAAAAGTCTTGCCTAAACGGGGTACATCACAACAACAATGCAATACAATACAGTATACTCTTATTTCAAGCAATGTAAATCATCCAATATAAAATTTTCAACTCAAGAATTTCAAGAAAATGAGGAAACGGAAGTTAGAAATACACTACCATATCACAATCTTATATTTTTTACTGTTTTATTATGTTTACTGCACTTGTACTCACCTACACTATAAGGAGGAAACATATCTACCATGCATGTATCAAAATCTTATATCCTTCATTGCTTTTTGAAAGTTTACTGTCCTTGCACTCACCTATACTTGAACCTGAAGCTACTAAAACATTACCACCGCCATCAATGAAATCTAAAACTGTATCTTCTCCAATGTTGCCTCCAAATTCTTAAAAGTTAATAAGAATAAAAACATCATTAAAACAAACTTCTTGGTTTACAGCTGACATTAAATGTGCTATACAACAGAGAAAAAAATACACTTCCAAACATACGAATTAAATAACCTTTGGAAGAATGGATTTTAGCAAAACTGATGTCACCCTTGCGACTTACTCAAGCACTCTGTGAGGTGACCTAAAGCAACAAAAGAAATGCCAGTTGCTCTCAGTCGCATCAACGTTCACTTTGCTGCACTACAATGTAAATTACAAGCAATTGAAATTTATTGTGCAATATTAGTGACCCCGCAACTCAAATTGTTAATGTCGTATGAAATTAAGGTAGCATTGCATAGCAATGAGTTGGAGAGTATCTACAGTAGGAAATCACAAATGCACTCAGGGC